AATCCATTTTTACCCCCCCCGCCCCCCGCCCAAAACCAGAACCAGAACCAGGTGATGGTTCATGGCAACAACACTGTAGAATCCACTGTTCCAAAAAAAAAACAAAACTCTGGGTCGTGGACCACTGACTAACATGCTTGTTTGCTGGACCTGGACCTAGCCAGGACCGAAGGTTTCTCAACCACTGGGAGGTGGCCCCACCTGGGACCGCTTCCATTTGTTGAAAACTTAGTTAGCTGTACTACATCTGAGTTAGCTGTACTACCCCCGAGTCCCTCTCTGCCCTGCGTCCATTCCAGTCCATTCCTGGTGTCTCTGACCTGACCCCGGTCGGTGGAGATTAGAGTCCAGGTCACTGGGACGGACTGCCGGGTTTTGTGGCCCAGCAACGGCAACAAACAAAAACAAAAACAAAACAAAGTCTGAGGCAGAAACAATAACAAGTGGTGTGGATGACAAGAGACAGCTGTGTGGCCCCCGCACCACCCCGCTACTGCACACACCGCCCTCTACTGGACTGGACCACCTTCCCATGCTGGTGTGCATTAGAGGTTGTTGGTTTCCAACCAAAGGAGCTCAGAACAAATTAGAAGCAGTTGGAATCAGTACTGTTTTATTTTGTTTTACAGTAACATCTGATTGACAACGCACCCCCCCGACCCCCCACCACACACACACACCCGAGGTCACAGAGTACCAGCCCAGCCCAGTGCCAAGCAGGTCAGCAGAGGGGCTTTTTGAAGCCCTCCCCCAACTCATCGCTGTGGTATTTTTACCCCGTCCTCTCGTGTTAGGAGAGGACCACTGTGGCAACTGCAGCCCCCCCCCGCCCCCGCCCCCTCCAGTTTGCCCTTCTGACACTGGAGTGAGGTCGTAGCTGCTGAGCAAGAAGTCCATGAGAGGGGGAGGAAGTGTTTTAATAGAGGAGAAACAGGAGCTGTAACGCCCCCCCCCCCAAAACTCCCCAGTCTATTCTGAGGTCGCTATCATTTCTCACCCTCTCACCCCTTAAAAATAGCCCCCACTTTTAACCAGCAAAGGCAAAGCAGACAGGACACGGCAGGGCCTTTATTTTTAAATCCAGAGCATGGCGGCCAAATCAGAAAGTTGGAGTGAGTCAGTGAACACTTTTAACCTCATCTTCACTTCTTTGTACGAATCCAGTCTTTAAAGGTCACCAAGGCCAAAGACGGAGATAAAAAGAAAAGGCACAAAAGACTCGACTTCATGCACTTTTATTTCAACAGTCAACGAACAACGGCGTGGAAACCTGTTCAACACAATCTTCAACGACCTTCAGAATAAAGAGTTTAAACATTTAGCATCAGGCTAACATATTATATGTTAGCCTTTCACAACAACTGTTAACGAACCTTTTCACCATTTCATCAGCTCAGAGGTACAAAAGTATAAAAAGAAACACAAATACAGAATCAAAACATTGAAATTCAATATTGCACTGAACATCAGGCTAAGCCAATTAGCCCGCTGCTAACATTGCCCTATCACTGACGAGTTCAACACTAAACTCTGCCTTTCACAAAAACCTCCCCAAAACTTTACAGTACGTTATTCCCAAGTCCAACCAACATTTGGACCATCGTCGTTACTCCTCCTCCTCCTCTTCTTCTTCCTGCTCAGCATCTTCAGATTCGTCGCTGTCTCCCAAAGTCCCAAAGTCCATCTTTGACAGGACTGTTTGCACATGCTCTGTGGACACAGTGAAGCGGTCCATCTTCTCAAAGCCTGGCTCCGGCCTCTCCTCGCCCAGAGAACCTTTAGCCGCGTCCTTGGTCTGAGTGATAAGACCCTTGGCGGCCACCAAGAACTCCGCCGCGCTGCTGTGCTCCAGAGCCCTGACGGCTGAATCTGTGAGCACGGAGCTAGCCTGCAGTCGTTCTCCGTAACGCTGAGCCAGACTACGGAGAGCCGCCACCTTCTCGTCTTGCTCTTTGCCGATCTGCTCCAGTAAAATGGCCTTGCGTTCTTCAAGGACGGCGTACAAAAGGTCAAAGCTCTCAACTAGCTTTTGCTTAGCATGCTGGGCGTTATCCTGCACGGCGCGACAGGCGTCGTCCATCTGGTTGAGCAGCGCCTGCAGGCGGCCATTGCTGGCCACCAGGGTATCTATAGCATTACTCAGTTCTCCTTTCTGGATCTGGTACACACTGGCCAAAGTGGCCACCTCACAGTCCTTATGTTGACCAAAGACCTTGCACATGGAGCACGTGGGCACCTGGCACGTCACGCAGTAGATGTTGATTCTCTCTTCCTCGTGTTCTTGGCACATGGGGTCTTTGGACTCTTTAGGTTTCAGGTTGGTCTCTGTATCCCCACTGTTGCTTCCCTCTTGCTGCTGCTTGTAGAGGTCAATGATGTTTTCTACCAGCAGGTTGCGCTGCAGGCCGTGGACACCGTGGCGGTCGAGGACAACCTCAAAGCGGCAGGTGGGACAACGGAAGACACCGCCGGAAAAGCGGTACGGGTTGCGGGAGTCGTACAGGTCGCTAGCGCAACTACGACACAGGTTGTGCTGACAGGGCAGAATCACCACTGGTTTGGTGAACATGTCCAGGCAGATGGGACAGCTCAGCTGCTTCTCCAGGCTGTCCATGGGGCTGGGGGGTCGAACCATAGTTCCGCTCCTCTGGACGTCCATTGCTGTAAAAGTGGATCTAAAATAAAATCTAAGACAAAAATCAGTCCCAGAAGAGTAAAGTAGTGTCTTCACTCTTTAGGCTTAGTGGACAAAAAAAAAGATCTTCAAAGAGCAGCTCGGTAGAACTTTCCCTGTTAATGCTGGTGGGAACGCTGGTATCTATTCTGGTGCAGGGCTAGCAGCTGAGGACTTTTATACCGGCCCCTCGCAGATGGTGTCATCCAATCCTGACCAACCACAGCTCACATTCCTGTCTGCTTGCAGGCCTTGAATCTTTTCAGAGAAATACCCCCCCTCCCTGCCCCTCCCACTGTCGTAGCATGTGTCACCTGATGCTGACCACTGTGTTCCTCCTGACCGTGACACAACCGCTGGACCCCACAGACACAAACAGGGTCCATGTGAGTGAATGGGAGGAGGATCAGCTGACCTGGGCCGTGCCCCGTCATTGGTAAACAAGTCCGTGTTGACATCCAGGCTGGAAGATGTTGATGTTGTTGTTGTGGTGGTCGCTGTTGTTGACTTTACGTTTGTCCTGACGTCAGAGACTTGGAAAATCCTGAGGTTTAAGGTTAGGGTTAAGGTTCGCAGCTGTAGAACATTTGACTCCGACGTTCAGAATATTGAACCATAAAACTGTAATTTCCTCAAAAATTTCCCTCAGACCTCAAGGCTGCCTCCTGGTGGATCTAATGTTTTTACCGAGGAGAACTGTTGAACAACAACAGCCTTTAGGTCAAAGGTCAAAGTGGAGGTGTTCTCTAAGAACCGCGTGTCACGTGTCTACTGAACCATGGTTCCGGATGTTTGGAGACATGACAGAACTGATGTCATCATAACCTTCATAACCAATGAGAACCACTGGGGGGCGTGGTCAACACTGCTGCAGCTCACATGGATCAGCATGAACTCACACTCACTGAGATTGATTTACTTATCAGCAGAGTACTTCAAGTCTGAAGTAATACTTTAGAGCAGTTTAAGGTAATTATGTTATGATTGTACTGTTTAACTCTTCTGGACTATATTGTTATATTTGTCCATTCAAACTGAAGGACAGAGAGCAGTGAGTTCTACCTACTGAAAATCTGATCAGTACTTCATCATCAACCTGATCAAATGTTGTCCTCACCTTGAAGGGCCTCCATGACAGGACAGATGTTTTCGGTCCACTGATGAGCAGCGATCGCCGTGTAGATCCCTGGGAAGTCTCGCTGCCAAATTCGCTGGCCCACGGTCCAAATAGCGGGTAACTCAGGGTTGGCCTGTAGACAACGAGTCTATTGTTAATGAAACTGCTCCAGTCAGGACACCCACCACTTAAACATTATTTTGATAAATATATATATATATATATATGCACACACAAACATATAAATATATATACATATACAGAGGTCCCTCTCCTCTTGCGGTAGTTGCGTTCCAAGAACCACCAAATAATTTACCGTAAATACCGCGATATTACAAAACTCTGGCGAGATTAGAATAAAAAAAAAAATCTGTGACGTACTGAGGAAGCAAATATAGAGCGAGACCACTGTATATATAAACACATACATATACATATGAGCAGATTAAAAGAGATTAAAAAAGGAAATTAAAGAGAAAAAAACAGATTTCTGGAGCTTACCGATTTTATAGCTGGAGGTATCCTCTTCCATAGATACCTGGCGTTGTTCCTGTTGGACGAGCATCGACACCAGTTTATAGACAAACTGACCAATAATGGACAGACATGCTCATTCAAATGGTGACGTTTACAGTGATGATGACAATGATGAAGAGTGTACTGGTTCATGAGTAGGTAGGTGTGTAATGTACCAAATATACAACGACCCCTGGTGGCCAGCACAAGTAGAAAACCCACTGCGCACGTGTGAGGATGACAATATTTAGTTACCTGTTTGACATGTGAGCCATAGTTTGACCTTTAAAACAAATAAATCAAACCGTCTGTGTGTGTATGTGTGAGAGAGACTGAGGGCAATCTTACTTACATATCATTATGAAGTAGATAGAGCGCCAGCAGCTGAGCGTAGACTTGAGATGTTGCGATGCCCCCTGGAGCCTGTTTCAAATAATGAGGCATAAAACAGATTTTAAAAAATTCCTTGTCAACACTGTCGGGAGTCGAACTTCGTTGACTTAGATAACTATACCACATTATACTGTTGCATTATACTAATCCATTAATAGGAGATAAATACTTTCCGGACCTGTCAGCTAGCACTAGCTTCGTGTCAGTAACGTATTTATTGATGCTAATCGTATTGAAAACGTAACAACTGTATTTATTAATGCTAATCGTATTGAAAACGTAACAACCGAACACATACCATCAGATTCACCCACGGTACATGTCCATCTATGATAACACGACTACTGTTGGTTCAAATTCTTAAAAACTGTGTTTACAATCCTGGACTACATCATGTTTTACAGTCTCCAAAGCGGTGGTATTTAGCTAACTAGCTAGCAACCGTACCAGCACTAAACAACACCGCTATCTGCCGCTTGTCTTTTAAGAAGTACAAAATCGGTTCATTCGCTGATGCAGAATAAACTCTACGCCAAGACTTGGAGTCAATTCATTGGGAAATACCAGTGGAATTGGTCTGAACATGTAGCTGCTCTGCTGCAGCGGGAAGCATCAACTGGTCAGAAGCGGATTTTTCAGAGCCGGAAACGAACATGTCTTCAGATAAAACACAGCGGGCAGCAGCATACATGCAACATGACCGCGGTTCTTACCTCCAGTTCTTGTGCTTCACACTGTTCTAATAACTTTTCGTAATTCTTCTCCATCATCACAGCAGTAGGCATGTTGGTGCCTAGCTGTTATGCCGGAAACCTCTTCTTTGCCCGAGTACTGCAGATTATTAGCGGCGCTTCATGCGCAGTGCTGCCCTCCTGTGGCCAACATGAAAATTTCCAAATCTGCTTCTTTTTTTTTTTGGACTGACTATTTTGTAACGAGCTTCTTTCTATGTTGCACAGTCGTAATACTAAAATAATAAATAATAAAAATAATAAATAATAATAAAAAGTATTATAATAAATTATCGTCAGTTCTTTCTTTTACCTCCTGTCTTCTATCACAGAAGAGTGAGGAACTGGCTGATGGAACTTTTAATAAAGAGCACTGATGGAACTCATTCATTCACGTGAACATATTTGCAGTTAAAAACAGCTGCTCGGTGAATTGGATTTAGAACGATCCCATTTAAAATGAACAGCCTCGCTGCATGCAGAGAGCAGAAAATGAAAGTTTAATGCCCTGTGTAATGTTTTAATCTATAATTCATCTCTTGGCATATTTATCTGGTTTCATCTGTATTTAAACCTGTCCCGGGGAACGCGCTCTCCCTGCGGCCCGTCTGCGCATGCTCAGAAGGCTTCTAAAAACACCATTAATCATGTTCTCCCTCTGCCTGTTTGCCTTTTATCGGGAATGTTCTTCCCGATCGTTATATATTTGTGTTATAATATAAATATGTTGAATTTACGTAATAAAATAAATTTAAATTTGTGGGAAAAAAATCGAATCCAGTTGTTGGTGTGAGATGTGCTTCCACTAGGGGGCGCTGTTGTACTTCAGACGGGGCGCGACATGAGGAAAACAGAAGGTGGGGCTGCATTAAATCTATGTAAAGGAACATAACCACAGTACTGCAGTAAAACTGAAGAAGTATGACAAAGTATTTGAATTTTGAATTTGAACGTTTGTCTTTGTAATTATAATAAAATCCCAAAAACAACAAACATTGAGTTTGTTCATCAGGCTCAGCCAATCAGTTGCCCTCAGGTGAGGGCGGGGCCACCACGGTCCATAATAACCAATCACCTCCCTCAGTGATGGTCCAGATGTGTTCAATCAGCTGGCCAGTTCTCCACTGTTCAAATCAAATTTTCTTTATTTTTAATTCTCACTAAAGGACAAACACAATAATCCTGAGCCCCCCCCCAGTCCCACCCCCACCAGAGACAAAAGACGAGGGAGCATTACAAAACCCACTCTGAGAAGAGAATTAACAACTGAAGGGAACAGAATAACCCCCCCACAGATGTGACGTCTTAAAAATAGATTGATCTCCACTCTCTTCTGTAGTGACCGGGAAATGATACAAAACCTGGAAACACTTCTCTGTGGACATGCAAACATCTCACTGACACCGTGGACGACACCGTGGACGACACCGTGGTCAATCTCCAACCAGGTCGCAGTTTCTGACCAGTTCTCCATAAGAACTGGTCTCATATTAGGTTTTTTTATATATATTCAGCTAACGATGAATATCAGAATGGAGAAGTTAAACTGTAGAGCCAACATCTGGAACCTTCTCAGACTGAGGACCCTCCAACTGACAGTGAAGACAGGTGGAGAAGGGGCCTAGCTATACATGCACTTACTATATATATATATACTGTATACACATAGTATAGTATGTGTGTATATGTCTATCTGTGATATACTGTATATATATATATATACAGTATAAATCAGAAATAATAATAGAGATTTTATCAAACCTATTCATGTTATTTTAAACATGTCAGGGAGAGGAAGTAGGTGGCGCTGTGACATATAAAATTAATAAACAGAACTGTCACTGAAACCAATATCAAAATCAGCACAGTTAAAAGTCATGATCACCTGGAAAATAAATCAAATAGATCTCTTTATATTAAATTAAAATATATATGTACTGTATATATTATACCTGGGGCTGACGCTTTGACGTGTTAATTTGGAATATATACATATATTAAAGGATGACAAATTATATCTAACCTTTCTCAGTTTCATCATTGACAAAATACTAACTTACACACACACTCCAGCCCTGCAGGTGGCAGTAATGCACCATAATTTTGTTTGTGAGCTAGTCCTGGTACAGACACCAGAGCTAGCGTTAGCTACTACAGTCCTGGTACAGACACCAGGAACAAACAGTGTATGGTTATTATTGAAATCTAATTAAAATGTAATTTATAAACAAAGTCTCTATTTAACTGTATTTTTTTTAATTGACACAATCTATCATACTCTATTACAATATATAAATATAAGACATTTTTTAATCACTCAAAGGTTTCACAGCCCCTTGCAGTACCTCGGATGGCCCACAGGTGGCCATTGACCTCTGGTGTAGAGAAGTCATTACACCTGTGGATGAGGAAAACAAACAAACTGTGTGTCTGATGGACCTGAGTGGACCAAAGGTGACGATGACCAGGGACAATGAGTACTACTGCAGTACCAGTCACCAGGTGTGTCCACGTGTCAAGTGCAACCAGGTGAGACCGACATGGACCAGGGTCACTGAGGAGTCAGGAAACAGTACTGGCTGGTTCTCAGTCCTGTGTTTGGGCGATGACTGTCGTCACTGTCCAGTACACACACCAGTACACACCAGTACACACCAGTACTCCCTCAGTGTGACTACACAGCAGGGTGGGATTAGTGAAGGAGTAAAGATAAGGAGCAGAAAGGAATCATGCACTTTGTTAAATGTGAATGAGTGCAGCCCTGTAGGCAGCGGCCCATGTGGTCCATGAGGTCCATGAGGTCCATGTGGTCCATGTGCTTTACCACCGAAGACTAGGAAGAGTCCACAGATTCACTCGTTCACTCACTCACTCACTCGTTCACTCACTCCTGCTGCAGAGCCTCTGGAGCTCTGACCCAGAGTCTGGTTCCTGTGGACCACCGGGTCAGACCGGGTCAGACTGGTCAGGGAAGCCTTCAGGGCTTCTGGTAAAATTCTGTTAGTTTCTGCCACAGGTCCACAGTCTCACAGCTCCCTGACTCCTGATTTACTCGTCGTCCTCCTCCTCCTCCTCTTCCTCAGACAGCTGCAGCACCTCCTCCTTTAGACACTCCCTGTAGAAGCTGGTCAGCGTGGCGTAGAGATGCTGGCGGCTCTGCTGCGACAGGAAGTGCCCCTCGTCGGGGTAGATCTAGGGGTGAGCACAGGTTCGTAGTAATACACCGTACTATAGTGTACCTGTGAAATCAAGGCTCGTTCATCATGCGGTGCAGGTTTACTGTGACTAGGTTAGCATGGGTTAGCATGGGTTAGCATGGGTGATGCTAATTTAACTTAGCCTCCATCAGCTGAGTCTGACTGTGTCAAATCACAGTGGATCAAACGACAGTCACGCCATGACAGACCGGAGTACTGATGAAGTTCATGATATTTTGATGTGGTATTTGAAGTACTCATGCCTATACGTATTTGTGGCCCAAACACTGGTTCGCACCTGCATGGAGTAGTTGGCCCCGACCCTGACCAGGTGTTTGACCAACTCAGCCGTGTGCTGGAAGTGAACGTGTGCTGCAAACAGAGAGACAAAGCAGATGTCAGCAGGAGGAGCAGAGAGGAGACGAGGAGGTGAAGATGGACGTGCTCCTCGACAACACGAAACCACAGCGTCGTCCAGGGAACCACAGCTGCCTTTCATCTTCTGATGTGAAATCATTCGGCCCATTACACCCAGAAGACGCACGCTCCTCTGGGCTGAACACGAGGCTCGGTACCAAGTGCATTTTAATTCCGTCTGCACTCTGTAACTCTTACCATCTGCTGTGCCGTGGACCAGCATCAGTGTCTGCTCCCTCAGGGCCTGGATGTTCTGCAGCACGCTGGAAAACTAAGAGCAAATCAGACACAGTGGGAGAGAGAAACTGTGAAGGGGAACTAACCGGAACGGTTTGATAAATGATACGCACAGGACCAGGACCTGGACATTCTAAAAAGTATTTACATAAATATCTGTGATTATCCCTCAGTGTAGTAGTATTTACTAGCAGTACCAACACAGAACCACCAGGGGTTTCCACACTTCTTTTCAATTGATCAAACCAAAGTGATCTATCTACATTGGAAATAGTTATTATATATTTAGCCAAATATACTTTATATATACAGTATATGTGGATTAAGTAGCTGTAGCTGTGTGGCACAATATGAGTCAATAATTGTATTGTTGCTAATCTATTTCTACAGATTTAATATAAATAAAAAATCTTTATTTTTTTATTTTTATTTTAATTGCTCATGATCTACCAGTGCTGCCCTCTACTGGTAGATACAGATCTACTTGTTGGGCAGCCATGTTTTAATGTCTCTAAAAGAACTGAGTCCTGCCGACTTCAGCTGACTGTAAGACGCGTGTCATGTGACGAGTGGTGCATGAAAGTCCAGATCAACACAGTTCAAAGACGACACGTGAAGCAGCGTAAACACAGTTCACTGTGATGCTGCAACCCCTCTCTGTAACCACCAGGAGGAGCTGCATTACTGCCACCACAGTGAGCTGACTGTCTGCTAACGATGACAGATGACAGTCCCAGCGTTGAACCTGCAACCTGTGACTTTGATAGAAGAACATTCAGCATCACTGCAGGGACTCTGTGATGTTCTGGGTTCTAATGCAGAGCAGCAGTAAACACACACACACACACACACACTCCTACCTGGTACAGGCTGTCGTCCCTCAGTGGCAGGCCCAGGTACTTCTCTGAGAACGCTGATGCTGTGAGAATCAGAAGTGATACATTTTTAAACAGTTCTTCAACAGTACCAAGCACAGTAGAGTTCCTGTCATTTTTGGAACAAAAATAATTTTGTGGTTTTGTGTCTGAGCACTGAAGTGATTTGGCGCCCCCTTGTGGAGTGGTTTTGTGTCTGAGCCCTGAAGTGATTTGGCGCCCCCTTGTGGAGGCCCATCTCCCAATGTAAAAAAAATCCTCCAGACTACAGCCACCTTAAAAGGACAGAACCAGGAGTGTGTGTGTGTGTGTGTGTGTGTGTGTGTGTGTGTGTGTGTGCCCTACCGTAGATTTTCGACTCTGTCCGCGGTGAGGACATGGCACACGAACATTTGAAGACACTGTCACTGGACTTCAGCATCATTAACACAAGGTAGGCTCCATAACCCTGGACACACACATACACACACACACGTTATGTCTCAGATTTAGTGTGTGTGTGTGTGTGTGTGTGTGTGTTCTTCTAGTCAGTTTAATTTCAAAGAACAGATTCCGTTTTTCGGTCATTCTGCTGTGACGTCACACACTGCACCAGCGCGCCACAGGAAGTGACGTCAGAGTGAATTTGCAGTAACAGCAGACATCGGTGCCGGACACGTACAGGAAGTGCGACCTAACCCGACCTGAGGGTCAGCTACTCTTCAGCGTACCTGTCCAAACACTGCGATCCTCGTACGGTCGATGTACGGAAACTTGGTCAAGAATCTGAGGGGAGGAAACAGAGGACAGATGTTGGTCCACAGACTGGTGACACGTGACTGGACGATGACAGGAACCTAAAGTCGGAGGTCAACGTACTCCACTGCTGCCACCTGGTCCTGGACATCAACGGACCCCAGTCTGTGGTGGACCTCGTGCAGGACCCTCTGACCCTGGAAGCCGCTGCCCCGGCCGTCCAGTCGAGCCACGATGACGTTGTCAGAACTGACCAGCACGGAGTCCCAGCTCAGGGAGAAACGGTCAGTCACTGCTTGACCACCGGGGGCACTGTCACTGATCAGAGCGGAGGGCATCGGTTCACAAAGAGCTTTGAATATAATCCAACATTCAAATATAGTAAATATAAAGTATATGTGGACGACGACTCGTTGTTGTTGTTCATTAGCTTTTCATTTAATAACCCCCACCACCAACAGCCACCAGGGGGCTCCACGTACAAAACCTCCCAACTGCAGACCTCAGGTTGTAACGCTACAGCTGTGTCACATCTTGACCTCTGTCAGAGGTCAGAGGTCAAACTATGACCAGGTTACCTTCATCTTCTTCATCCTCACTCCTGTTTGTTTTCAATTCATATAGAGATTTCTTTTTTTTTTTGACAAGACCACGGACCCCAGATCTGGTACCATCGTTCAAACAGTAACTTTGTTCTTTGTACTTACACTATGAGCAGGAGTCCGTAGTGACGGGACTCAGAGAAGTCGGGTGGGAAGGAGATCTTCAGGGGTAACTCTGTGAAGACAAAGACAGGACATGAAGACACTCAGCCGAGTCACATGACGGAGGAGGAGGAGACAACGGTACTGAGACGGCACCAAAGTGTTCAGTTGGAACTGTTCTGAAGTCCGTCAGCTGGATCCTCTTAGTCTTCAAGGCAGCCTTGAGCAGAGAGTTGTTTTCGAGGATGTAGTAATCTGAAAGAAAAAAGATAAAGTAAAGTTTCAAATGAAAACGTGACAAAGGTCCAGATGTGACTCTCATACACAATTAAACATTTACGTTTGAAGAGGAAGAGGTAAATGTAGAGGAATATGAATATATATTTTTAATGGCAGGGACGCAGGGGGGGGGGGGGGAGGGAGGGGGGGGGGCCTCTACAAGCAAAGACAGAAACGCGGTCTTTT